CGCGGCCCCGAGAGCCCTGTGGCGGCAGGAGCCAGGCCCGGCTGCAGGTGGCGGGGCCGGTCGCTGCCCCGTGGCCTCCCCCTCCTTGGCGCCCTTGGGGCAATACTGCTGGGTGACATGGGGCTGGGCCCAGAGGCCTCTACTGCCCCCCCACATGAGGGCCACATTTGTACCCCACATGGAACGGCTCACCTTCTGGGGGCTTTTAACCACAGGCACGTTTGTAGCCCCAGGCCCGGAGGCCCGCCCGGAGCAAGCAGCCCCCAGCCAGTGCTGCCTTGTCCCGTCAGCGTCCAGCCGTGGGGCACGCAGCTGGGAATCTGCTGCCCCGGAGGTAGCACTGGGCAGTGTGGGTCGCTCTTCCGGCTGGGGGCACTCCCCCGTGCCCGCCCGCCTCCTGGGCTCCCGCGGGAAGTTCCCGCAGACTGTTCCCTGGGGAAGAACCCCGGCCTCCCCTCTCACTCACTGTGTGCGCTGCGTCCTCAGGAAGCACCCTGGAGGAAGAGGAAGCCCTGCGGTGGGGAGTCTGGCTGCAGCCCCTGGGCTAGACGCCGACCGGCCGGGCTCCTGAAGCCCGGGCTCCCGCTGGCGAGGGTCGGGACGGGTCTGTGTTCTCGCTGCCTGTTCTTTTGTCTGCCTGCCTGTTTTGAAGAAGCTGCAGGTTTTCCCATGCTTCACTGCTGTTTGACGCGAGCCGAGCTCCCTGGGATGCGTCCAGAAAAGGCCCCTGGAAGCCTGTCTCAGCTTCAGGCAGGCACCTCCCGTGCCCCCTGCAGCCTCTGCCAAGGAAGGCCTCTGGAGGGCATCCCGCCTGCTCCCGCGGCATCCCCAAGCCGTCGCCGCCCACACCTGCTGCTCGTAGCAGGCGAGGTGCGCGCAGGGGCCGCCGAGAGAGGCGGGGCTCGCCAGCTAGCGTGCAGCTGCAGTGCGGCTGAGCTGGGACGCCTAGACGCCCGTCGGGGCCTCCTGAGAGCCCAGGCGTCCGCGCCCTGTGCGAAACAGGTGTGCAGTCGTGGGACCCCAGGTGTGTCTGGAGCCCGCCACGCTGTCGCCCGCCCTGGGGAACCCTGGTGGCTCCCTGTGTGCAGGAGGGTCCTCAGAGGCACAGTTGCTGGGGTCACGCGGGCCCCCCATGCCTCGCGGCCCAGAGCAGCCAAGCCCAGAAATGGGGCGAGTTACCCAGGTCCCAGTGCTGGTGACAGGGCCCCACCTGGCATGAGTCCAAGTAGGTGGGAGCCCGGAGTCGGGGTCTGCAGGAGCCGGGGTGTTCCCTCAGCGGCATTACCCCCAGAGCGAGCGAGTCTCCTGGCCCTCCCCGTAGGCGGCCTGTCCTGCAGGAACTCCCCACAGGGGCCTTTCTCCCTCAGCCAGGGACAGGTGTCGGCGCGGGCTTCAGTTCTGCTTTCCACTCTCCGTAGGTGGTAAAGACAGGCGGGCCTGGCCGGCGCCTCCGGGCAGGTGGGGCTCTCGCCGTGCGTGCCGTGCCGTGCCGTGCCGGGAGCGCTGCAGGCCTGGAGGCTGCGCCGGCCCCGGCCTCTCCAGCTTGCCTCCTCCGGCGAGGGTGGGGGGTCGGCGATGGAGCGTTGGCGCGCGGCCAGGCGTGCTCTTCACCGTCTCGCCGCATCTAGAAAGGTGCGAAAGAGAGGGACGGAGGACGCCCACCTGGACGAGGGGCCTGCTGCCGCCGGGGGCTCTCCGGGGACATCAGCGACACCGCGGCGGGCCTGGAGGGCCGCGGCTCGCTGAGGTTGGGGGCGGCCCGTCCGGTGGGGCCCTCCGAGGCCAGACCAGCGCCAGCATGCCGCGAGGAGGCCCCGTACGCAGGCAGGCACCCAGGAAGCCTCCAGACGATTGGCAAAGGCTTCTGCAGGGGCCTGTCTAGCCTGGGGAGTCTGGCTTCCTTGCCTTGCCGCTCACTGTGCTTGAGAAACAGTGGGAGACAGGGCTGCTCCCCAGGAGCACGGGCCCACCTTCGCACTGCCCGGCAGCTGGGGGGCCCACAGGTGGGGGCAGCTCGGCCGGTGACCGGAAGGCACTGCTGTGGCCTGGAGCAGGTGGGCAGGGAGAGCTGGCACGCCGGCCGTCGCCCACTCTGTTCGGGGGCACACGGGGACAGGGCGCGAGACGCTGGCTCGGTGCCGGAAAGGGGTGGGCGGGGCTCCAGGGCCCAGGACGAGGTGGGGGCGGGGAGGGAAGCGGGTGCCTGGCCACACACACTGGGCCCAGGGGTCTGGAGGCGCTGGCCCCCGGCTCAGTGCGGCGCTCGGGAGCCCTCCCCAAGGAAGCGACCCCCGAGAAGCTCAGCGTGCCCTTGGAAGTCCTGTGCCGCGGCGTGCTGGGGAGCGGCGGCGGCCTTCCCGCCGTCCCGCCGTGAGCAGCGGCCGCCGCAGGGTCCTCACTCGGCCGTGCTCAGGATCGCACGGAACAGAGCCGCCGAGGCCTCGGCTGCCGAAAGAGAAGTCGTGGAAGCCTTTCACTTTACTGTGCCCGCCAAAGCAAGGCGCATCACTCAGCAAACGGAGGAGAGACTCGCTGAAAGAAGATGCCGCCCGGCGTGTCCCGGGGAGCCTGGCCAGGCGCCGCCCGGCCCTCGGGGGGCCGGCGGTTTCGCCGCAGGGTCCCAGTGGCGCCTTGCGTGCTCCTGAACGCAGACCACGAGCGGAGCCTCGGGGAGGGGGTTCCTCTGACGGTGAGCGCTGCCCAGCCTGCTGCACAGCGGGGCCCCCCGCCAGTGTCCCGGTGACGTCACTGTCCCTGAAGAGGCCCGGTT